TAAAAATTGGTTCATCGTGTCTGAAAAATTATTAATGTAACAAATTTTTTTGAAATAGAACGTTCAAAATTTTCTATAACAAAAAATATTTAGTATATAAATTAATTGTTATCCTGTAAAAGGATCAATATAAATATCGGTGCTGCTTAATATAAAACTATGAAAAATAAAAAAAAAATAAAAGATGTAAATACACCAGTAATTTTTGTTAAAAAACAAATAAAAAGAAAAATTGTAAAAAATTTTCGATATTTATATACTATTTTTAATGGCCAAGAAAGACGAAAAAAAATGTTCATGAATGTAAAAATTACACATTCCCATGAAAATCACAGTGCCAAAGTTTATTTTATAATACTGGCACAAAACTTTTTTTTTATACAAATGTGGGATGTAAAAAAACATGTTATGTGCTGACGACAAAATGATGAAACTGTAGCTAACATGAAAAAATTTTACTGGCATTTACATACCTGAATATTACGAATTATTACCATAGATTCTCAAAATTTTACTTAACCCATGTTAACTTTAAAGGGAATGAAGTCGAGATTGCATATCTTAAAGTTAATCACAGTGACTTTTTCTTTCGTCAAAAATCAGGCTATTATAAATATTATATGGCAAGCGATGATGAAACGTAATGATGATTGTGAGAAGAGCACAGATTTTTCATCGAAGTACAAAATATCTAATTTATGGGCGTAGAACTTACCCTTGTTGTAGATGGCGTATTTTTGTTTGAAGTGAGTCCCGACAAAATACTTCTTACGTACTTTGATGGGAAAACAAAAAACGAATCCCATTTTTGTCCTCATACGAATTTTTTCTGCTATAAAATGAACATTTATCAAAACTCTGTAAATATAGGTATATTTTATGAATGAAATTGAAATTAATTATACAGTTAATACACCTATGGAAGTGCTTTGTTATTAATATTAAAAGCGAAGCTTGCATAGATTTAAGTACTGAGCGATATATGAGATTTTTTTCTGACATAGCAAATGCACAAAAAAATCATGATTTCCATATTTGCGTATACTGAGATTATATTTAAAAATTTTTGTTAGCTATGGAAACTATTTACCGTTTATTATTATTTTTTTGGCTTTATGACAAGCCTCAGTTTTCTTCCATAAATTAAAAAAATACGAGCAAATAGTTTTCATTGGCAATGTAACTGTACACACATTGCAATAAAAGGCGCACTTATGCAAAAACGAGATAAATATTATGGTACGTATGGAAATGCACAGAAAAAAAAACACTAAAATACCATACGTTTTTTTTTTTTAACGCAGGAAATAATCGATACATCCTTTTTTCAAATGTAGTGTTGTGAACCTATGGAAGTGGGCAGTATATTATGAAGACAGAAAACGTGTAAGGCTTTTTTACTTGCTTCCAAATCGATGCTTTGTTATAAAAAAAAAAAAAACTTATCCATTTACATTCAATACAATATGCCTACGAAGATATGTGTTCAAGTATTTTTAAACATTTTTTTAAGATTAATGAAAATTTTTAATCGAATTTTTGAGATATGGGAAGGTTATACAAAGTAGAGTTTTAAATGGTTTTTTTACTCTCTATGTTTCTATTCACTTAATCATATGTCATGATTTTTATGTAAAGCCTCTTTTTTACAGTGGTGAAAGGTAACCACTGCATGCAGTATCTTAAAAATGTTCGTGCCCGTGATTTAAAGAACAAAATAAATTTTTTAAATATAATTTTTTGGTACCAGTATTACTTTATAAAATTGTAACACATGCATAATATATTTGAAAGTCAAATAAGGTAAATATTTCTGGTAAATAAGTCCCATGCAAGCAATTATATAAAATTATTTTATCATATATGTAGATAAGTGCGAATAGCTGATAGAGACAATTGTAATAGTTTCTAACTACTAATGGATTTTGTGCAAACACCCTTCGTTAAGTTTCTATTTGTTTCGTTGTTTTTCGAAAACTGTGACAAAATCAGTTATTTAGATGGACAAAGAGTTGTTGTTCAGTTGTAAATACTAGTTTTACGCAGCTAATTAAAGTTAGTCAAAGTAAAAAACTTTTAGATAATAATGGTCTATTATTAGTATGAATTAATATTAACACCGTTTGTAAAAAAATGTAATATCATTGATTGTATTCATTGAACGGTTGAATTACGAAATTTATTTTATTTTTTATTTTTAAGTAACAAGATTTTTTCCTTTTATGATGAGTTAAGTAAACAAATCAAAATCAAAGTTGCCATATTTATAATTATTATTTATATTTATGATAACAAAGATATGACTGAATTTGTTGAGATAATTTTTTAATCTATAACTTTAATTAAAATTATTATTTTTAGAACATCTCGTAATATTCTCGTAATGAATTTCATTTACATACTGAAAACGTTTTAGTTATGAATTATTTTCACATAAAAGACATTTATTTTATTAAATTAAAATACAAACATCACACTAACATTCCTGCGCTTTTATGAGAAGCGTATTTTGATTGCCAAATAAAGACACAAAAATAAACAAAAGAAAAGATCAAGAAAAAAAAAAGGTTTTTAGCGTATTTTTTAAATTATATGAATTTTGGCGATTGACGATAAAAATCGAAAATAATAAATGTTTTCTGCTATTTTTGCATGTGAAATGTTTCATTATGTATTAAAAAAATTTGTAAGGTAGATTTTTTAGAAATAATAAAAAATATACTATTCAAATTGTAAAAAAAATTAATTGATCGACAATCGCCTCGTCTATTTATTAGAAAATTAAATCCACATCTAAACAGCAGCATTGAAAATATTAATTTTCTGAGCTAACTGAACAAATTTTTTTGTATACTTAAAATTTTAAGTGATTCGTTAAATAAAAATATGTAAAAGAAGAATCTCTTACACCCCGATTTAAGTATATTATCGAAAGTAATATTTTCCACGAGATCAATGTTCATCCATTACATCGATTTAGCGGTGTGAATTGTATAAATTTATACAATGTATGATTTTTAGTTAACATAGGAAGTTTATGTGTAAATAAATAAATATTTTTGAAAAACAGAAAAACATTTTTTTTTAATACCTATACCATTAAAATAATTATATCGAGTTTTGGTAGAGAAAAAATATTCCAATGAAGAAAAAAAATGTTCAGTGCAACAACAATACTTTTTAGTAAAGTTTATTCAAATAGTAAAGGTTTATTTACATTCTTCATTTTATTTATTAAAAATAACGTTACTTTTTAAAGTTACAGGTCTAATGTGAAATTGTTTGTTCAATGTCATCATATGAAACTACTAAATCATAACACAATAACAGACTGACAAAAAAAATATCAGCATCATCGAATTAATTTAACACAATAAATCATCGTACATTTCAAAAATTTCAGTCTGTAAAGTTAATACACAATTTCACTGCAGTAAGTACGTACAAAATGTCTCCAAAAATCATTAAAAAAGCGCGTATCACATTTTTTATTCATTTAAAGTACAATGTACGCTTAAAATTAATACAAAAAAAAAGAAAAATACTCATAGTTGCGCAAAAAAGCCACAATCACGCATCACGAGGAAATATAAAATCCACCGCGCTCCTCTTGATCCCACACACGATACTCTCAACTTTTAACTTCTCAATCTTCGTCAACTTTTTGTCGTTGTTATTATTTTCGTCATTACCCTTGTTCCCGACTTTGATCCTGATCACCAGATCCCTTTGACCTATGTCTCATAATTTAATGTCTTTAATGACGGTCTCTTGCGTCTCGAGCGCCTTTTTTCGACTGGCAATCGCGTGTAGGAGTTTCCGTCTTGGGCCCAGAGGAAGTTTGAGAGCTGCCACGTCGGATTCCGTGAGGAGCATCAAGGCTTCGAGGTCTATCTGTTCGGACTCCAGGATCGCGTGGATGGAGGACAGGTTGTTGGCCACGAGAAATCGCTGCAGTGGCGTCCACTCCTCGTCCGTCTCGTCGTCCTCTACATTATTTTTACGAAAATTAACCATCGAGATGTACGTGCACGTTTAACGCGTTAATTGTATTCTTAGTACACGAGGAGTTATCAAAGTATTGAAATTATTTAAAAAAAAATTTTTTAAGCGAATTAAAACAAATATATTAGATTATCATACCACTTCATAAATTCTATACAGTTTGTTTTTACCGATACTCGTTAAGTACTGAAACTTTGAGATTTTCCGATTGAACAAAATCCACTAATGTCAGTCAGACTACAAAAATCAGAAAAAAAAATCTTTTTCCGCCCTCGGGTGGTTTTGGGAGGCTGGTACTTTCTCGGGCGAAAAAGCAGTTTTCCGGAACTCGTTCGAAAAGTCTCCTTTACGAACCTCGTTACGTCCCTCGCCTTCGGCTCGGGCCGCAAACCTCTCGGTTCGCAAACAAAGACTTTTCAAACTCGTAGGAAAACTACCATTACAAATTAAAAATTCACGTTTTTAAAAAAAAAGCAATAAAAAGAATTTTCCTTATTTTGTCTTTCTTGGATTTNATAAATAAATTAAGGGAAATTTTTTTTTTTGGAATCACAGAATTTATTCTGAATAACAAAAGAAGACAAATCAATATAAAATAAATACAACAAACATCACGAAACACCGTCAAATGCAATGAAAATAAAACGAAAAAGCTCACCGAAGGATCCTGTAAAAATACAGCTAACCAGCTTATTGTTGAATCATCGATTGCGCGAGCGAAAGAGAAAAATTAGTACAAGCGAACCAGGGACAATAGATTTTTTTCTTGCCTATACAATAGAAAGCACCCAACAACAGCAGTCTAAAGCCCCCATCAGCAACGCGCCGATGAACCCACGCGCACAACGAGGAAAGGGAAAAAATGTGTCCGATGGTATTAATTTTTCCAGCTCACAGCAAAATACACCAAGTGCTTTGCAATTAAAAAAAAAAAAAAAAAGAAAAGGGAAAAAAAAGTGAAGGGCGACATACGCACCGGAAAGCAAGTCATCGTCCCACATGCTCTGCCTGCGGGCCAAGCTTCCGGCGCTTCCTATGCTGATCTCCTCGTTGTTGTGACCGCCACCGCAACCGTTGCTACTACTGCTACCGTTACTGTGACTGTGGCTGTAGTTGATATTGTTGTGTTTGTTGCTCATACCGTTGTTGTTGTTATTGTTGTTGTTGTTCATGATATTTCCATTGTTGTTGTTATTAGACAAGCCATTTTTGTGCAAATTCTCGCCGTTCGTCAAACCATTCGGATAGAGGTGCTCACCGTTCGGTTGACGGTGGACCTCCACTTGGGTCACCGGCAAATTGTCCAGCGTAGCCGCGATCTACCAAAGTTAGGAGAACATATACTGTGGTTTTAAAAAAAATTATTTTGCAATATTATATTTCATTTATATTTTTATTGTATCATCTTGGGTACACATTCACCATTAAACCGTTGAGAATAATATATATCAGAGCCGTAACAAAACGCTCTCCACCTCCGAGCCGATACAAATACCCGATAAATGTATATCATTTGTATTGCACACAGCGACTACACTCATCACCATCCAATCATCCTTTGGAGCGTACATAGACGAGCTCCTTTCGTTTTCTCTTTTCGAATGATTCACGGACCTTCTCCGAAGACTATTATCTTTTTTTTCTCGGAGACGCGCCTTTGGATCGAGGTGATTGTAACGTACGAGAAAGAAGAGTTGAAAAAAAAAAAAAAAAAAAAAAAATGTAGAGGAACCTTGAAATTGTTCTATTCGTTATAGACAATCGGATGTCCTTGGCTTTGTAACTATTCCTCGTCAGATTTGATTGCAAGTACAGTTATCAATAATCCCGTTATTGAACCATTATAGTTTCGTCACTATAGCTTCATGATCGGTAAAAATAGAGTATATCAATACAGCCCTTAGCACTTTAGCCATTCAGCGACTTCGCGAATTAGCACAGATTTGCCCTACAGAAAACCACAGCCACAGCACTTTGCTCGATAATTGCGAGTGAAGTGAATTTCCTCTAATCGCTCGAAATTATCCGTCTTTACGACGAAACTGCTGGCTTGCCTTCGCGAGTGTATACCGAAAATCGTCCCCTTCCGCGCGATCGATCCGCGATAAAAAGACCATTGTAAGCCAAACAGCGAACAATGCACGCGAGTGTCCTCCGTTATTCTCCACGAGCTGAACCTTCGTATTGTACGGATGAAAGAAAACTTACCGATCGCCTAAAGGCAACCGATCCAAAGCCCGGTCGGTTGAATATGCTCGCTGGTTCTTGCAGCTGCATCGGCGTGCCCCTGGTGCAGTGATTCAAGCCCCGTTCGACCACGCTCGAGCGCTCGTCGTTTTCCTCGTCCTCCTCGTCCTCCTCCTCCTCCAAACACCGATCGCCCAACAGGTCCGGGGTACTGCGGGCCCTGTTCAACGTGCCCCACACGTCCGAGATCTTGCCCCGTCTGAGTATCTGTTGGGCTTGGTTTTCGCTCTGAGGCTGCTGTTGCTGGTGGTGCACAGGCCGATTGAGGTTTTGGCTGCTCTGGAACACCGAGCGGCTCGAGTTGAGCATCGTGCCCGCGTGACTGTTGTTGTACGCCCCCACGTACATAACTTCGTTGTCGCGGCGTAGGCCTTGCAGGCTGCGCACCGATTTCTTCCCGTCCACTTCGATCTGGGCTCGAGAGTTTGTGGTTTCGGAATTAAAGCGGTTGTTTCGAGCAAAAGAGATACTTTAGAGTTGTACGTGTAAAAAAAAAAAAAAAAACAAACGTGCCTCCCAAACAGTGCCATTTACTTATTTGGGAAATCTATGAATGCAGGAAAACTCTTTTATAAATGTAATATCTTAAATAGATCCCAATGGTTCTTTTCACCCATCACAGGTATCCACCGAAAAGCACGACCAAGAGAAAAAGTTGGAGGGAACTACGAGCACCTATCATCAGTACCATCGCATGCTCATATGTATACAGGTATAGATACACGTACAGCCTTCTCGACGCGAAGAATGCAAATAAAAAGGAAAAACAGAAATCTTACCTCGACGACCTTGAAATCATCGACGGCCCTCCTAGCCAGCGCCTTCTTCCCAACAGCGCCAATGGGCCGCCTCGTGGTAGCCGTGCCAACGATATCGCTGTAAGTCGGCGGGGGCTTCATCCTGCCCTTGTAGGTGCAGGCCACCGATCCCGGCCTCGCAAAGCCCTGCGGATCGCCGTTGTTCTCCCCGAGGCGCGCCTTCAACAGTTTCTTCTGCTCCTTTTCCACCCGCGATTCTATCACCTTCTGTCGCTTCACGTAGTCCTTTAATCTGGAAACCGATGCGTATGTTTTATAATGAAAGTCATGGGGCGAAAGGATTCGAAGCTTGCTCGGTATATTATGTAGTGTCAATGTAGAACTGCGGGTTAAAATTTCAAGACTTCCCAAGGACTTTTGAACCTTAAAAGTTGTGTATCGAATGTCTTTGGAAATCTTTTTTTTTTTTTTTTTTTTTTTTTATCGACTTTGTGAGTTTGCATTTGCTCGCAAAAGTAACACATAGCGAAATAAATCTCTTAATGGTGTTTGCGCGCATTAAGTCGACCACAAATATAAAAACTCCCCCCGCTTCTTCGCTCAATTATCGGTTGTACTTGTTGCTCCACATGCACCATCCATAAATTAATCATCTGCACGCACACGCTATAGTCCTCGTTAAAATTTTTAATTTCACTGCACGCGCTTACCGTTAGCTCTAATTTTTTTTTTTTCATCCAATTAGCAGTGCTTGTAAAAACTTATTGAGCAATGGAAAAAAAAGCTTCTCGCTACCTAAAAATCACCGTTGTTCGTTACGTGTATGTATGTGTTCGTCGACGAAACAAATTTTTGCTTTCGCTCTCGTTTGGTGAAAAAGTAGGGAAAAAAAAAGCGCGCATGACGTGTACTTCTTTGTGAGCCCGTATACTTTTGTTTTTCATCGCCACAGTCGTACATTGTTGAAATTCAACGAGAAAGGTGAGTGGTATGCTTTTTTTCACACTGTGCTTCTGGCTTCACTGCTCTGGATAATCATTTCATCAATTTTTCCGTTTTATTTCTCGATGTGATGGATATTGTTGCCTTTGGGACGTCATGAAGACTGAGAGGTCGAGATTTTTTTGGAGATATGCGAAGACGATGTGCGTATAGCTAAGCTTTTAGTATACAAATAAAGCGAGATAATATATGACGATTAGTTATCACCTTTTATTATTATTCCATTTCGTAAGTTTATTTCTAAAAGCGTGTAATTATTTGTAAATGACAAAAATAAAAGAAATAATATAAAATTAAATTTAAAAAAATATATTAGATTATCATACCACTTCATAAATTCTATACAGTTTGTTTTTACCGATACTCGTTAAGTACTGAAACTTTGAGATTTTCCGATTGAACAAAATCCACTAATGTCAGTCAGACTACAAAAATCAGAAAAAAAAATCTTTTTCCGCCCTCGGGTGGTTTTGGGAGGCTGGTACTTTCTCGGGCGAAAAAGCAGTTTTCCGGAACTCGTTCGAAAAGTCTCCTTTACGAACCTCGTTACGTCCCTCGCCTTCGGCTCGGGCCGCAAACCTCTCGGTTCGCAAACAAAGACTTTTCAAACTCGTAGGAAAACTACCATTACAAATTAAAAATTCACGTTTTTAAAAAAAAAGCAATAAAAAGAATTTTCCTTATTTTGTCTTTCTTGGATTTAAATACTGTGTTGTAATTAAAAAAAAAAAAGCAATTTTCGTACATTTTATTAAATGTTTTAAATTAAAATTTCATACATTTCTGCAGAACCAATCTCACGCATATCCTTGAAGTACACACGCGTGGCTTTTTGTTAACATGGTTTGTGAACGCATTAACGGTCCTACCTTGAAACGAGTCAAATGAGAAAAGTATAGAATCCAAGATCTTTTTCGATGAAAGTTACACAACTGCCCGAATCTCAATCGGAGAATATAGAATATGTCTCACATTTTCTGTGTCAATTACACAGGTACATGCGCGCAAACAACCAACCAATTATCGTTCCTCGCCATCAGCCCGGCCAAAACACTCCTCATGTACACTCCAAAGAGGACGTATGCGTATATAAAAATCAACGGCTCACCTCTTCTCGGCGTCCTTCTCCGCCTTCTCCTTCATCAACCGGCTCTTCTTGCGGTTGTTGATCTCCTGATCGGCCTGGGCCATGTCCAGGAACTGCAGGATGCGCTCGTGGCAGTTTATCGCGGCCAATTCACGAGCGGAGTGCCGGTCAATGTCCAGGGACCAAATGTTGCAGCCGAACTTGACAAGGAAGCGCACACAGAGCTCGTGGCCCCGCGCCGACGACAGATGCAGCGCCGTGTTCCCGAAGTAATCGGCCTTGTCCGGCTCGCCGCTGGGAAATTTTTTTATATTATTTTTTCTTTTATTACAGTACATGTGACGAAAGTTATCGCCAACTTGTGGATGGATTGGCCAGTTATCGGGTTATATTGACTCCGCAAACTTTAACATTCAAATTTATAACGAGCTCACGATCCCGCTTACCGATCAATCTCCCGTTGTCGTATACGAGTAAACGATTCGTAAGTCCCTTGTTTATCCATAGAAATAATTGCAACAAGTTACATTGACTCAGAGATACACATGATGTTTGCCAATCGCTATCCATCTCGCGGTATGAAAGAGGTGACACGTGCTTGCAATCACTTGATGCAAGTAAATATACATATAGCCATTAGAGACGCGTATATCTTATCGATTTGCACATGACGTTATCTGCAATTTAACATTGGACAGGTATACTCGTATATACAACAGCGCTCACTCACGCGAGAGGAGGCAATAAATGAATAAATAAATAAATATTGAAAGCCATTGTTAATACTATTGCTTCTTATTTGTTTGTTGGAAAATAAAGACTGCGTTGGGCAAAACAATTCAAAAGTACAAAAGAACAGACAATCTGTGGCCTCTCTGTGCTCGAGCCAAGAGTCGGTCTCTCCGTAAAAACGTGCAAACTTGGGTGGACGATAGTCGCAAAAACGGCACCCACGAGAGGAAAATAATGTATACATATACAGCTGAAGCACACATTATATACATATATTATATACACGGGTGGTACAACATCCTGGTTAAAAAAGGTGCGCGCGTGTGCGGAGCTCGCCGAACTTCCGGTCACGCTACACATAATGCGTGTAGGTATATAAAAGAGGAGCCCGTACGGCGGTTGCAGCGAGCCCGATGCTGCTGTTACATGCTAATCCGATCCGGCGTCTCCCTCGTTATATCTGCAGAGTGTAACAAGTATACACTGGTGGTGTTTCCATCTCGGTTTCCATGGAAGACCTTTTATTTGCTGATTTTGCTCTTTGGATGAACTCATTTTTTTTTGGGGGGGAATTTTTTCTTTTTCAGAGGGTTTTATTGTCCGCGTACGAGCCAGTGGAAATGAGCGATATGCGGAAGGAACACGAGGAAGGAAGTGGCTCGCGTGCTCGCTACCCGTATCGAATTACGCGTGTCTGCAGGTACGTGGGGGCTCTCGGTTTTTTTTTTTTTTTTTTTTTTTTGTTCAAGCTGGATATTTCAGGGTCATTTTTACACGAGAAGGAAGGGGGTCGTGTTTTTAATATTTTTTTTTTGGGGGGGGGGGGGAGAAAATTTGATACGTCTCGTGTAAAGATCACTAAAATAGGTAGCTTCGCGTGATTGGGTTTTACGAGTCTTACGAGTATATTTTTTTTCATCAAGTGTCTTTTTTATTATTCCCCACCACGGCATATTATGGGGAATAATCACTTAATCACTTGCACTTGATAATGATAAAAAAAAAAAAAATCCAAGGCATGTGATCGAGGGCAGTAAAAAAAATGACACGACCACCCATTGCACAATCTATTGTTTACGATTTCATCGATTCTTTAACTGAAATTTCGTGATACCCTGTGTACACATGGAGAAAGAAAAAAAAATTTTCTTTATGTTGTGAGCACATCCGTGTCCACCGGTAGATCTGCATTCAACAATTACTCTCTCGTTCGCGTCGTTTCTTCGGAATGCAATGCTGTTGATCCGCATAGTTAATATTACTCCAAGGCCTAGCACCCATACCACCTGTACTGTATCAGGTGACAATTGTTGATAAGATATTTGTGATCCACAAATGGAGCACAATGAATTATTCCGACGAATCACTCTTTTGACTTGCTCGCCTTTTTTCATTACTATAGATACACATATTATATTATTATTAAACGTATATTTAAAGGTACAAGTGCGTGCATTCATATCAGCGCGTTGCACCCTCACGGTACAACATATGTAAGCGGGCGGTTCCGTTGGCGAGCCCATCTGTCGCTTGACCACCAACTCGGGCTTTACTTTTGTGATACTTGCAGTGCTGGGGTTGGGTTTTTTTTTTTTTTTTTTTTTTTTTTTGCGTTAAGTATCAGCCGGATCATATAAATGGAAATGTAGGCCAGTTAAGTTTGGCTGATCCTTTTTTTTTCCTTCAAGTGAGTTTTAAAATACGCTAAATTTTTGAAAGCTACATTTTTGTCTTTTGGTTTTACTGTAATTTAAACTTTGGTATGTTAATGTAATGCTCGAAAATTACCTAGTATCGTAGTTGGTATTTTATTTTACATTTAAATAAAACAAAAAAAGAAAAGGATTTTTTACATCACAACATGATATTCCAGTGATACTTCAGCACAAAAAAATGATAGCAGTTATATAGCATGTACACGTAAAATTACGACAATCATATTTCCTGCTCTGCGTTTTTCTAGTAAAATATATATTTCTCAGCTCACAGAATGAAACCCTACCCTCGTTTGCTCGGGAGTGCACTGCTAAGCAAAGATGATAATTTACTCCTCGTGCACTGTAATCGTAAAAGAGCACCAAACTCTCCTCTGCACCGACGTACGAAGGAATTTTATCATTGTGCCTTTTCATTGTGCGTCGCATTTGTTCGGTGCAATATTTTTCATAATTAAATTTTATGCGTGACGCGAAGTGGTTTGTCATTTTTTCAAAGTCCTGCATCGAGAAAAATCTTTCAGAAACATCACTTGGCCGACAAGAAAGAATATTATTTGTTTTCCAAAGTTAGCGAGAGCTACTTCATGACAATATTTATTCAAGTGCGAACGTCAGATTTTATACTTTACCGCACTAATTGCAACATTTTTCCTCCAAGTATTTTTTCAAATTTCACTTCCAAGCCACCGAAGACTAAAATTATCATACGATTCGATGTTCCGGTAGAGGAAATGAATAAAAAAAAAAAAAAAGGCAAAGTTATTATTTACCCTCTAGCTACGAGGAGTCTCAAAGCATCTATGTGACCTTCGTAAGCTGCCCATAACGTCGGCGTCATTCCACTGTCATCTCTGGTGTTGCAGTCTTTTCTCGAAGTTTCCTTCAGAATCTCCAGTATGTTGTCTTTTGCTGCCCTGAAAATTTTTTATTATATGTTACACACAATATGGTACACAGTCTTAGGGAAAACAATGTTTACAGCATCAGAATATTGGTTTTTGATAAAGTAATCAAATTTTACATTTAAGATTGTTGCCCCTATAAGTGCTCGTGTGTTTTTCTCGTACTTGCATCAATTGAATACAAATGTACGAACTGATTGATATTGTGAAATTTAGAATTTTAACAAATAAATGTTATTATTGTAGTAAAGTTCTGATATGGGTGTAGGATCCATACCGAAATATTAAAATTGTACGTGATTTTTGTGATTCATTAAAATATAGTCACGCTTAAATAGTACATTGTATTTTAATTTAAAGAAAAATTATTATTACAATATTCATTAAAAATACCTTTCACTTACTATGGTAAATGTGGATGGATGTGAAAAAAAAGGTGACTTTGTTGTATCTTTTGTGGCTCAGACCCCAGTGTAACTATGCGATTCAATGTTTAGTATGTCACTGTATAGTATTATTGAAAATGAAGTGAAGCGTCGTGTAAAAACATAGATAAGTATTGATTTGAGAAAAAACAAAAAAAAATTGCAGAGAAATCAACTGCCATTGCTCGAAGAATCCGTCAGACGCATTCGACGATCTTCATTTTCCATTTGCCCTAGAAAAGACAACTCCCGTGCGCGTTTCACCGACAAAGCCTCTACTTCACGGCATGCACGAAAAAACAAAACGTCTGTGCGATCGACAATCGAGAAAACCGCCAAGGCGATAACACGATTTTACCACGAAAAACTTTTCCTCTCCGCGTCATTGTGGGAGCGCGCTCGCGAAATACCATGAGTCACATTGTTCGTACTTCTATGGCTCTGCAGGCATAAATACATTGCAAGAGCTCGACTTTCCACTCGATAAGCGCGCCTATAAGCGACTCCTCCGGTTTCACGCATGTGAAAATTTTAATTTTCCGTCAGCGCCGAGTGATGCTTTTTTTTTTTTTAATACAGGTACGTGTGGGTATACACGACCTTTATTTCGCGCTCGAATTCCTTATCTCTTTTTTTGCCCGCTGCTTTTGTTGACGCGAGCTGAGTTTATGTATATACGTTTGGAGCTGGAAAAGTTGAGCGGGAGGAAGCGCTGTTTCGCCGAAAGGATTTTAATTTGATGAAAAACACATTACTCGGCTACGTTGCTCGTTTTTTTTTTTCTTTTTTTTTTGTTTTGTTTCGTTTTGAGGAATTTCGTGATGTCGGTTATGAGGATATCACTATAGTACGAAGAGTTTTTTTTATGTCCATTTTTGATGTGAAATTAAATTTGGTGCGCCAAGTTTTGGAATTATTTTCACTTTTTATGATAAAATGTATTTACGCCTTTTTCTAAAAGCCCGTAAATTCTCTTTTCTTACAATTTTTGCCTTTTTTGTCACGAGGAAGCTTTTTGTTTGTCCAAAAGAAAGTTCTCCAAGTGACAATATTTCATGGCAGAATGGGAACAGAATTAAATAAAACTTGAAAACAGTTTTGATGAAATTAAAAGAAACTTTTTCTCAGAATTTTAGTCAAGGTCAAACAGCGAGAGCAGTAATTTTTCGATGGTGATTTCATATAATATTATAGTTTTACTGAGCACTGAAATAAAAATAGAACAAAAGAAATGTTATTTACTTCATAATTATTCAACTAAAAATCTAAAAACTATATTATATTAATTATATAAAAAGAAACACACAAGTTCACAGACTTACATATTCCAAGCCAAAAATTGCATAGGAAACCATCGTCTGCTGATCTTTGTTAGATTCGACAGTAGTGTTTTTATTTTATTATTATTTTTTTTTTAATAAATAATGTTGCGTATGTATATATATTCTTTTATTTAATCAAAATTTATCACCAAACCGATGCGTATGTTTTATAA